GTTCCTCAGGAGCCACTTTAGATTGAATCTAAGGATGCACCTCTCAATGTATGGATTGAGTTACTTCAATGGACGATCCGCTTCATTTATCAATATCTAAATATCTTAAAACATCTACAAAATAAAAATCATGATATTTGAATATTTCTAACACATTTTTCATTGCCTTATGTTCCTCAGGAGCCACTTTAGATTGAATCTAAGGATGCACCTCTCAATGTATGGATTGAGTTACTTCAATGGACGATCCGCTTCATTTATCAATATCTAAATATCTTAAAACATCTACAAAATAAAAATCATGATATTTGAATATTTCTAACACATTTTTCATTGCCTCTTTGGTTGTGTTATTGTAAAACCATTAATTTTACTATCACTTGATGCATTAGTAAAAACAACCTAATATGTCTAATTTTTTATTTATATGCCATCCTAATCATATAGATCAAAATGAACGGAGTGGATCAAGTAAATTGATTGCATATAATCTAATTTTCAAGGTGCAAAAGTAGACGGTATATATATATATATAGAGAGAGAGAGGAGTATGAATTAAAAAGTGGAGCAAAAAAAGAAGCACAAGGGTAACCTTGTGAAAGTATCCCAGTCCAATTTGTAAGCCGAGAACCATGCCATAGAAGCATCCTATTTTCCACACTGGAGAACTGCATAAAAACACAAGGTATCACATCATAAACACAAGCACTAAGCACGGCTAAATTAAATGGGCACGTCCAATGAGACAATTATACTGAAGAATGCCACCAGCAAAAATATTGCAGATCTAATACTGATATTTCACCTTGTTGAAGCGTTCAATCTCGCCTTCTCTGGAGACTCTGAAAATTTTCTCAATATCAACAGTATAACTTGAATGTGTTTTGGCATGTGTATTCCTCATATACTTCTCTATCTAAAACAAGAAAAATATGTAAATATTGCCTGGAAATTCGTAGAGAAAATAGCATTTATACCAGGTTAGTCCTGTATTGTAAAGAACAGCTGAATGCAAATTTATGATTTCAGCATTTGTTAAGAATACAGTCTCTGTATTCTTAACAGGACACCACCAGGTCCTGGAATCATTTCTGAAGGAAGAACATGACCAAGAAACATTAGGTGATCTATAAGAGAAATATTACCATAGAAAATTCCTCAGAATCAACTCCAACTGGAGTTAGTTCACAACGGAGTTGTTTGTAGCGAGAATACAAAGGATCGTCCTACAAATAAGGGCAAGATGTTACAGCATGATGTAGAAGGCTAAGAAACTGCATATATAAATATATCAAGCAAAGGCATTACTTAATTAAATAATGGAAAATAATATTAGCAGCAGTAGACAAGAAGCAGATTGAAAGTTTACATTACAGCTACAAGGAGGTTGATTTGAATCTTCTTTTCTTTTCTGAAAACTACTGATGCAAATGAACAAAGTGGGTAACTTCTGTCCTCTTCATATCATCTTCCACAAACCCTTTTGAGGAAGTTGCAATATGATAGTTGGATTAATGTAAGCCCACCCAATGTGAAAATCATCACCTACCATCTACCCCCACCTACCACCATTGCTACAGTAACTACCAACCCCCAATAGTATATACCTACCTCATAACAAAGCCAATATATAACCACTTAAGTTTGATTTGTAAGGCATCCAAGTAGCAAGAAAGAGAGAGAGAGAGAAACAAAGAGAAATAAAGAGGGAGAAAAAAAAGTGAGTGGTTGTAAAAGAGTAGTAGTTTGTAGTAGAGAGAGTGTTTATATTGGAGAGAGTATAGAGGGTTGTACTACTAAAAAATAATAATAAAATATTTTTTAGTGTCACCACTCCTCTAAACTCAACAAGTGGTATCAAAGCCACCCTTCTTAAATCAACAATTGGGCGGTCAGGGACCGGCTCTCTCCTACGGTGATCCTATCACGTTTGAAGGTCGAAGTTCGTGCTCAGTCCGAGACTATGAAGTTGGCTGGTCAAGAACTAAACTTGCGTGGAGATACTGAAGCAGTACCACGTCACGATGGCAGATCTGGCAAGTACTACTACTACACTTAAGAAATTTAATGGTAACACTACAGCTATTGAGAGACTTGTATGAATTTCTATTTGCAAGGACAAAACCTCTAGGGGGTCATCGGGGGTGCTAAAACTACAGCACCTCAGAAAGCTGGCAAAACACTAAAGAAGTGAAACATTAAAACCGGTAATTCTATGTATGTGATGAAGAGGACAGCATAAAAAGATCTCGTAGACTATATGCAAGATGCCAGAACTTCGAAAGAGGCATGGCATATGCTCGCCACACTTCTTGAAGAAGAACGACGCTCGACTTTAGCTCTTTGTGAATCAACTGATGACCTTGCAACAGAAGATCTGACAATCAGTTAGTACTTCAAGCAAGTAAAATCACTATGTTCGAATATTGCTCTGTTAGATATTGATTCCAAAGTGTTGGATGCAATGATGCGAAGAATAATCATCCACGGTTTAAGACCGGAGTACCATGGGCTCGTTGCTGCTACACACAGCTGGCCGACTCAACCAACATTATTAGCGTTGGAGAGTTTGCTCGCTACACACGAAACCCTAGTCAAACAAATGGCCGGCGTTTTAATAAAAAGTAAAGATGAAGCACTCTTCAACAGTAAGGAGTGAGGCAAACCAAGAGACGCGAGCAGAGAGGAGTATGGAAAGGTTGGCTCAAGGAGACAACCGGCATAGCCATACACCGACATAACACAACAGCGTGAGGAGCAAGGTGATCGTCGAGCAAGACAACCTAATGGCAGTTGCTACAATTGTGGGAAGAAAGAACACTTTGCCAGAGATTGCTGCTACAGGAGAAGACCTGCAGAGGGCAATGCTGCAACATCGCGCAGATGTCAAGATGATGCAGAATAATGGGATGCCCAAGCATCCATGGCCATCATTGAAGATGCATCAGTCGACTAAGATGAGATTGTTGATATAGCACTAACTTCGATTGTGGAGGAATCTGAGTCCGCACTTGCATCTGTTTCGGGAAGAAATCAGTTACAGTAAAAATTGGAATTACCGACCGTCTACCCCACCTACCACTATTGCTACAGTAATTACCAACCCCCAGTAGTAATTACTGACCCCCCAATAGTATATACTTACCTCATAACAAAACCTATATATACCCCTAAGTTTGATTTGTAAGGCATCCAAGTAACAAGAAAGAGAGCGAGAAAGAGAAAAACAAACTAGAAAAATAAATAGGGAGAAAAAAAACAGTGAGTGGTTGTAAAAGAGTGTAGTAGTTTGTAGTAGAGAGAGTGTTTGTATTGGAGAGAGTATAGAGCGCTATACTACTAAAAAATAATAATTAAAAAAAATATTTTTTAGTGTCCACTCCTCTAAATTCAACACCCAAAGTCTGTCCACCAATAAAAAGACCCATTTTCAGTTTTGCTTCTCCTCTTCAATGCACTTCTTATTGTAATCCCAACTCTCAAGTCCCAATATGCAATTAAGTTGTCCATGTTCTACAAAACCAAAAAATGGAATTTTGTTTTCCTCCTATACGCCTGTTATTCCAAAATCTATTATAACCCTTTCAGTTTCCCCTTAACTATCAGATAGATCTGACATAAATCTCTCATCAAGTTCATCTTATTTATGCACATTGCATGTGCAATAATCTAATAAGGGAGGGGATTAAGTTCGCAATCTGTAGACCTTTGTTACCAATATAACAAGAAGTTGTTCCAGCTGCTAGACAAATGTTAAAGAGGCATAAGTCGAGATTGACCAAGAATAAGTGAAACAGTTCACAAAAAAATGAAGAATGCACTGATTTGAGTGTTTGGTGAATGGTAAAAGACAGGAAGAGGAGAGAAGAAAACAAAACATAACGCGTATCAGAGAGAAATACTGATACCTCTATATAACATGAGTTGCGTTCAATATAATTATGAACATCGTTTTCAGAGACCATGTCATTATGCAAGTTTTGTAACTGTCTTAATAAGTAAAGCAGATTTTCATGTTTACATCCTCTTTGAATTAATTTATATTGTCTGGAAGGAAACAAGAGAAAAGATAAACATAATAAGCTACTAACTACAACCAATTTAGATCAATGAGAAACATACCCCCAATTCAGCATCATCTTTCAGAAGCTTAGTTGCAATCTCAATCTCGCCTAGTGATGCAACCTCCAAGGAAATACAAGAAAGAGCAGTCAAACTACTAGTCAATTAAGAGCATGTTGAGAACCATGTTTTTGTAACAATCACATCATAATCTGTTAAATTAGAAGTGCAATCTGGCAAGCATAGGGGACATTGATAATAATCTGAGCAAGTTGAAACCATAACATCATTAACCAAACACGGTTTACTCTATACCATGTTGCAGAAACAGAGTTCTATGTTTATAAAAGCAGTATATCTTGAATGACTTCATTACAGACTGTGTTAACAAGTACAAGGCTCCACAACGAAGCTTTAGAGGGTATAAAGTTTTGACTGTAGAAATCTTAATAAACCAGCAAGCCTGCACCAGTTTTTGGAGTATCTTAAGCTCAGTAAAAACTTATAAATGAAATAAAAAATGGATGAAGTATTTTCTACACCATCAATAATTGATATTCCCTTAACATAGTACATATCATCTTTACATAATTGATCATGTCAGAAATTATTCTCTAAAAATTATAGAAAGCATAGTCAAATGTTAAAATCTATGATGGACAGTGTGTCATGAGCATGTGCGCGTGAGTGCGTGTGCGTGTACGGGCGAGCAAGTTCTCGAATTTTCAATTCTTATAAGACTATAAAATTTTAGTGAGCTGAGGGAATGAATTTGAAGCTGATTTAAAAATTTTGGTACAGATAATAAAAAAGATATTAAAGTATTAGCAGAAGAGATCCTAAATTACTAAATTAAACAAGATGGTGGATAAAAATTACCATGTCTAGCTTGCACTTTAATTTGTAAGGAGTGTCAATGATGAATTGACCTGCATCACAGCAGTACATATACATGGTTCAGTTCTGAGCTGAGGGAGCCATGAAATAATATCAGCACAAGGTAATCACTTAAAATTATGAAGTGAGCAACTGGAACATACGCATCTTTCTAAAACCAAAGTCATGAGGAATCACGGTGTAGAATTCTCTGCAAAGGGAAAAGAAGAAGAAGAAATGATGCTTAAAGCAAGAAACAAATCGATGCTTATGAAAGAAGTAAACACCACATGATACAGAACATGCAGAAAAGAACTGTTCACCAAGTCTATATAACTTAACATGTAAATAAATTTTGCAAAAATGACACATAAGAAAAGGGAATGACAGCAAAGGTAGAACATACAAAGGAGAAAATTAATTTACTAAGTTCACATAATTTAACATGTTTTGAACTTCAGATGTACACCATATTCATAGGATGGAGCATGAGGGACAATGTTTATTAAAACTATTGAATATTCTCTCCCCCCAACTACTGATCCGGATAAAATCTCTGGAATCGTCCCGGAAACAAATACCATGCAAATCAAGATAATTCCTAACCGGATCACTAGTAATTAACAGTCATCTTCCATTTAGGAGAAACAAGCTTACCCGCTTAACTGTTCAAGTACTTTCCTATCAGGTTGTGAAATCACATCAGAAATTCTCCTCAAGATATCATAACCCTGCAAGCCAATATATATACAACATGACATACTACTGACAAAAGATTTGAAAAAGAAAGAGAAAGGAGGCAAATACCTTTTTGTATCGATCAATCAGACGATTACCCACACACATACAATCACAAAAGCATATACAAACAGACATGAACATACACGAACACGCACGCACGCACACACGAACACACACGCGCATGCAATTGTCATAGTATGAGATATACATGCAATTTTGCCACAAAACACATAGACCGCTTGTAGTTGCATATGCTATCTGGGATCATTTTGGAGGGGCAAAAATAACAAAACACAA